AATAATTTTAGATATAACATTATTTTAACCTCTTATAAAGCTTATATGTTAATATTTCATATTACTAATTTATTTTATTGGCAATATATATCTGTTTTTAAAAAAATAAATAAGTTATAAACTAAATAAGTTATGTTGTAAACCTTTTTAAATAACTTAAATTTACCAAGTCAATACATTACAGATTATTATTTTTCTTGAAATTTGTTTTAAAACTTTTTTAAAAACCTTATTTTTAAAATAAAATTTAAAATTTTGATTTTAGATATATATGTTCTAAGTAAAAAATATATTTTAAAACATTTTAATAAGTTTATTAAAAAATGTTTTTAAATTTTTTAAAAAAGTTAAAGATAATAAAAATTTAACCTTTTATTTTAAATTTTTTATTATAAATTTTTTTTTCAAATTTTTCAAATATTATATGTTTCTTTTTATAAATATTTTTTTACTTTTAATGCAAGTTTTAATTTTTACAAATAAATCACAAAAAGCATAATAATGAATGTTATCATTCTTTATTTAACAAGAATTTTTATTAAATAATTGTAGATTTAAAATTAATATTTAAAGAGTTTATCAAAAAATATAAATTATTTATTTTAGTTAAAAAGTTTTTAAAATTTGTACATTTTTGCCTTATAAGCAATTTAAATTTTTTATCTTATAATTTAAATATAAATTTTGTAAAAATATAATCCTTATTTTTAAATATTAGCAAAAATATTTTTACTTAAATATATCTATTTTTTAAAAAAATAAATGAAAAGTATTTTTATAATAAAATTTAAGACAAATTTGCTCTGAATTTTAAACAATTTAAGAGATATTGGTTAAATTGAAATGCCTAAACATATCTCTTATTTAACTTCCAAATTATCTTGTCAATACCAAATTACTTTGGTATGTTATAGAACTGAAAGTATAGTTTTAAATTTTTATACTATAACCTTTTCAAATTCATACTCATAGTCTGAAATCATTTTTTTATTACTTTAATAAGAATTTACTAAGATAAGATGTTCTTCAAAGATTAGCTAATTATAATAAACCTGCTATGCTATTAGGGTTAGCATTTGGTTAACAGCAGGTATATATTTTTAGCAATTTGTCACTATTGTAATGTCTTTTTAAATAAATAATTTTCAAGTATCATATTATAACTGAGTAGTAATAAAATTTCTTATTAGATCTCTCAAGATTAGGATTGGATTAGAATTAATATTTTAGAAGAGAATAGTTTTAGTAGTATAATTGCTTAATGAAAAACTGTCTGTTAGAGTACAAAAGGTGGTTTCTTAAACTAATTTTTTATTATAAGCAATTTTTGGTTTGTTTTTAGTCTTTTTAATCATATTACATTATATCTATTCTTGAAATCCATTCTTAAATATGAATTATCAATTTAGAGTTATACTAAATTAAATCAATTAGAAGATTAATCTATTTATATAAACAATCAAACCCTAACAGATCAAGTAATTTACCATCACACTTGGAAATTAGTTTATTTAATAGATTTAATATCTGAATATATGCCAGGTTGTGACTAGTAATGTGCTATGTACTGTACTATATATACTGTATGCTAAAAAAATTGTGTATCATATAAATAGCATATCATTAGTCATGACATAGCAAAATTCATTTATGTTAGGATTAGGGAAATTAGAGAGAAGTATTTATACTAAAATTGTTCAACAAACCTTTTATTAGAGCACTAAAGATGGTTTCTTATGCTGATTTTTGAGAAATAAGTAATTTTTGACATGTTACATTCTATCTAATTTTAAAATCTGATTTGTAGTTTAGGAAATCTGTGCTACAAAGCTAGCATATATTCAAGCAGTGCTAGTGACATATATTATAATTTATTATCATTAGTATTGTCATTGTATGTCTCTAGACTGCACTGTATATCTATCGATAAAAGTATATATGTACCTAATTTTGGTGGTATTATTAGATTGGTTTTACAAAACTCATATAAGAAGATTACAAAATTCTAGGTTGGAACTATCAGATTTAGCCTAGTATTTAGTAATATAAGTTAACTACTTTTAGGCCAAAATTATTAATTAGACAGCTTTATTTAATGAGTGAGCTATAGTTTAATTATTGAACCTTTTAGTAATCTAGTGTTCTGCATGGACCAGATCAGGCAGATATTTTTTATAAATCTGGATCTGATCTGAATATTCAATTCAGATTTAAGCTGAATTTGAATTCAAATCTAATAGATTCAAATTCAAATCTAATTAATTCAGATCTGAATCTAACAAATCTAAACTAAGTTAAAATAAAACAAAAAACTGATAAAATTTAAAATTAAGCAAATTTACTTGCAAATTTATATAATATATGCTTTTAACTACATTATGCAGTACATTTAGTATTATTTAAAGTTATTTATATAGATTTAGCTTTTAAGTGCTTCTTATTATGATTTTAAACATATTGCTATTCAAACTATTTTTTTAGCTAATTTATTTTGTTTATCGGTTATTATATCTCTACTAACACTAAATATTTATTTACTTGAAACACTTGTAGCTGATATAGCAAGCAATCTTTAGCCAATTTTGCAAAATTAGGATAACAAGCTTCATTTACTTATCACTATTCTAAAACATCTATTTGTGAATCTTTACATGCCATTATAGAGTATGTTTCTAGTTTATTTTGCCATTTAATATGTAATATTTTATAAATTCATAACATTATATTTGTTGCAAATAGTTTAGCAATTGAATCTTTTATATCTTAACTAGAAACAGATATGTACTAGCTTTCATACTTATTTCTAATTCTATAAATTAATATATATAAAATAAATTAATATACATGTCACTCTGGTTATACTAACATCTGAATATAATGACATTATAGAAAAATCTTTTTATACTGACATTTTTTTTTCAAAATTTTAATATAAAATGTTAGTATAACTCACTATATTGACATTTTGAAAATTTTTACTAATGTCTCAAAAATGTCAAATTTAACTATTTTGAAGAGCTTGAATAGTTGTCAATAATTATTTCTCAAATTAAAAATACACATAACTCCAATTATATTAAGTCTTTGGTCTAGTACAATTGCTGCAAGATAAAATATATTTGTTTTATGACAATAATTTAAAAGTTTAAAAGTTGTGACTTCATATTCTTGCATAAGACATTGCTATATATTGTTCATTTGCTGTGTTTATTAAAACATTTTAAGTAACATATGATATAAAGAAACTGATATCGATAATGTTAGATAATTAGAAGATAACATAATAACTATTACTAAAAATTATAATTTATTGATATTTTAATAAAATTTTAAATTAATATAATATATAATTAGTATAATTATTAAACTAACCTTCTTTAAATAGTTGCAAAACTTTAATAAAAAGTTTAATTTTTTTTTAATTATTATTATTAAGAATATATTGTTGTAAGTCTACTTCTACTAATATTATAGAATTTAATGCTATTTGTAATACAATTGCTCTTTTATACATAGCAAACATAGAGTTTCACCTGAGAGTAATGTTAAGAATTGGCTTTAATGTACTTATTTTATATATTTGATATGTAATCTTTAATTTTTCATAATAATTAGATAATCCTCTAATACCTCTAATCAATAAATATAACTGAAACATTATACAATAATTTTTTTTTAAAAAAATTATATAATAAATATAAATATATATATAATATATAGAATTTTATATAATAATAGTATTACAGTAAACAAAACTTTTCTAATTCATATTCAATATTATTTAATATTGTTTGTATAATAAGATTTAAAATATAACCAAAACATCATATAGATTGTTAGGTATTATCAAATTAAAAGCCAGATTGTGATAATGAATTTGAAAATTTTTCTAAAAACTTATTATTAGATGATACACTATCATATATAATAGGCACTAGTTTTATAATAATACCTATTGTTATAAAACATTCATGCATTGCATCTAAAATTGAAATTCCTGTATATGATCTACTTATATGAATAAAATTAAGTAAAATATGTTTTAATTTCCATGAATCATTTGTTACTGAATAGTAACTCTATAAAGAACTTATCATTAGTATCAGTTATTCATATGTCAGTTGTTAATACAATACTATCAGAAATTTTTTGTAATTTTTTATATAATCACATATGTTCTTTCTCAAAATTAGACACAATATGTTGTTTGATTAGATCAGCTGAAGGTGCTATATATATACAAAAAATAAGAAAAAATTAGAATCTTATAAAGTAATATAAAGTTAATTACACTTTAACTCTAATCAATAATAATTGGATATATTTAAAGTCTCTATATATAACTTTATATAATAATATTTAAAAATAATATTATATAAAGTTATATGTAGACTTTTAATATATTCAGCATAACTATAACCTTAAAATATTACCTATTGCATCAGGTTTTAGATATGTAAATATTGATCTAAGTTTAGTATCTTCAATAATTTGAAATGGTCAATTTTTTTTTATAATTCAATGTTAATTATATTAATAAATTTGTCTCTATTAAAATAGTTTGCATAAATGATTATTAATCTTAATATAAGTATTTATTTAAACTAGTTTTTTTAATTTATTTTATTTATTTTTTATTTATTTATTTATATTTATATAAAAACTTATACCTGACTTATTATTTAACATATCCACAACTAAGATGCTTTTTTTTACATTTAATTTCTTTAATTCAGGTACTTTGATCTTGTGAGAATTAAGGTGCCTTTTAAGATTTGATGTCATTTTATGTTGGTATACTAACTTTTGATTACAAATCTCACAAATTGTGGAATTTTTTTTTTTGAAGTATTTTTATACAAAAGATCTATAAAACATACTATTAATACAATATATTAAACAACATATTAAACAATTATAACATTTTAATTATCTGGTATGTATAGAATTACTGCTATTTGACTTTTGTACTTACGATGATTCACTAATTTCAGATTCATCTAATTGTAACTTGGTTTATACTCTTTCTCATATATTGGTATATAATATTTCTCATGCATTGGTTCATGCTCTTCCTCATACATTAGTTCATACTCTTCTCCATGCATAGATTCATAATCTTCCTCATAAGAAGATATAGACGGAGTTTGCATTATAAAGAAATAAATGTTCTTATTTCAAAAAAAAAAAAAAAAATTCATAAGAAAAAAAAAAAAAAAAAAAGATCGTATAAGACTTATTTAAAAGGAGCGTGTAAGACTTATTTAAAAGGATCATATAAGACTTATTTAATGAAACTTATTTAAAAAATAATGTGAATCTTGTTCTAGTGTTGGAGCAAGTATCGATTTTTTTTTTGTCGTTTTGATCAGCATACTTATATATATTATTACCGACCAATAAGCGTTGTGAGCTGTGAAACGTGATCCCGGAAGCACGTGAAGGAAGGTGATCGAGGTGGCGCAGTAATAACTAATGGCT